TGCTTTGAGCTCAGTTTAAAGTTATTTCCAGTACTAAAACCAATCAAAATCATGTCAATTTCTGTAGTATATCTTCCATTCTATCAAATGAGACCAAGAAATTGCAAATAAAACTATAAAAAACATACGAAAAAACACTGCAAAGTCGCTGTTCTAATCGAAAATTATGGTCTTCTTTTTCTCTCATTATGCACTGTGTGCTGCAGGATTTTTGTGGTGCACACATACCACATAGATGTATTCACTCATTTCTAGGCCCAAATTTACTGCTCACAGCTTATCAGTGAGCTGAGTTCATGGCATAGATCTACAGTTTGGACCCTGAACGTAAAGCCATAGATCTACGGCACGGACCCTGAAAGGGTTAATGCCACTAGGACCAGCTAGAGTCACTGGACCTCTGTTGCACAACAAATCTGTCCATAGAGCTCTGTACCTTGCGTTCCTTGAAGATTTGCCTGAAGTGGGCCACAACATTGTCATTGTAATAGTTGCCACAAGGCTTGCAATAGCTGTGTTAGGGTGATTTTCATCCATAAAGGTTTGCAGTTCAACACACTTTGCACACATGTCCTTAATCTTTGAAGTAGGCACCTTCTTCCATTTCTCTCCCCTACTCTGAAGCAGTTTCTTCAGGTTTGGCCTCTTGCTGTTGCAGATGCTCTTGCAGCTCATCAGTGGTTAGTTCTTAATCGCCCTCTTCCACCAACTCTTCCACATCCTTCCCACTAACCTCCAACCCCAAGGACTTCCCCAATGCCACAATAGATTCCACAACTGGCATAGGCTTCTCAGGGTTAGCCCCAAACCCTTCAAAATCCCTCTTCTACACATTCTGGCCACAGTTTCCTCCAAGCAGAGTTCAAGGATCTCTTAGTCACTCACTTCCAAGCCTTGCCTATAAGGTTTACACAACTTAGGGTACTAAAGTGATCTTTCCAAAATTCTCTTAGGGTCAATAGTGTCTGAGGTCACTTCAAAGCACTTTTGAAACAGCTTTTGTGAAGAGTTTTTTGAAGTTTGAAATGACCTGCTGGTCCATGGGCTGCAGGAGAGGAGTGGTATTAAGAGGCAAAAAACTTGACCTTGACGAAGCTTGTGTCCCCAGAAATTCGCTCTGCCAAGTTTGGAAGATGACCACGAGCATTGTCTAATACTAGGAGGCACTAAAGGTCCAATTTATTTTCCAGGAGGTAATTTTTCAGTGGGGGCAAATACATGGTGAAACCAGTCATGGAAAAAGTCCCTAGTGACCCATACCTTACTGTTTGCCCTCCACATCACGCACAAATTAGCCTTGAGGACATTGTTTTTCCTGAACACACTGGGAATTTGAGTGATACACCAATAAAGGCTTCACTTTGCAATCACCACTAGCATTACCACACAACAAAAGAAAGCCTGTCTTTCATAGGCTTATGTCCTGGGAGTGCCTTTTCCTCCTGAGTAATATAGGCCCTGTTTGGCATTTTCTTCCAAAACAGGCCTGTTTTGCCACAATTAAACAATTGTTGGGGTTTCAGTCCTTCAGCCTCTATGTACTCCTTGAATTCCTGCACATACTTTTCAGCTGCCTTTTGGTCCGAACTGGCAACCTCACCATGCCTTATCACACTATGTATGCCACTACGATTCTTAAATCTCTCAAACCAACCTTTGCTGGCCTTAAATTCACTCGCATCACCACTAGTTGCAGGCATTTTTTTAATTAAATCGTCGTGCAACTTCCTAGCCTTTTCACATATGATCGCTTGAGAGATGTTATCTCCTGATGTTTTTTGTTTATCCACACCAATAAGTCTCTCAAAATCTTCGAGTATTTGCGATCTCTTTTGAAAACATACTTGCACCTTTTGCAAGAACAGCTTCCTTGATTGCCGTTGTTGGCCAAGATAGTAGCGATGGTTGGTTGGGGTTTGGTATACAACCTGGCCGGCTCAGAGACACGCACTCCACTTTCGTACTTTGCAATTATCTTTTTCTTCAATTCATAGTATTTCTCGCTCTTTTTACCACAGGGATGGCACTAGAAGCTTTCTTGGGGCCCATGGTGACTTATTTTGCAGTTAGCACTAAAAACAGCGATAATATGAAATGTACCGAATGTATGCGTAGATGTGACTGCACTGGCTGGCTTGTAAACACTGGCACATATGGGTCAGCTGAGGCACACTCAGGCCACATGTGGACGCGTCCCGGACGAATCACGTTGGGCGAGTTTTTTATCGTTAGCCAAGCCAAAATTTTTATGCTCAAACACTTCGTTGGGTGGATTTAATGTTATGCGATGCATTCATTAGCTGAGGGTCCGCTACACATAATTGAGGAGACCCAACAAGTGTAAATAACTTTGGTATCAGAGGTCATACTCTTGCATACTTCTTCCATCCATCCTCGACCCTTTCAAGGTTGAGAGGCCCTCTCGTAAACTTGTTCTCGGGTTCGAAAATTTTTTGGAAAATAAATTATTTTTTCTTGTGAAGTGATAAAGAATCTTTTCCTGGTCATAATGACACCAAAAAGGTGAAATTTGACTGAGAACTTGTGGAATTATGCTATCGTGAGGTTAGCGGTCTCGACGATGTTGATGCATCAGCGATTTTTGCCTACTTTGAGCCCTGTTTTCGGCCAATACCAGTGTACTAGTCAACAAAAATCATAATTTTCACTAGAACTTTTTCTATCGAATGAGTACAAGAAACCACCCATTTACAGATTTCAACTATCCAATAAAGTGGTCAGAAATTGGCAATTTTGCCAATTTTATACATTTCAAAAGATGCCAATTTCCAAATAGGGTCCAGAATAAACAAGACAGACATTCCTGGCACTAAAATAACATTTCCTCTGTTCATTGGTCACGTCCCCAGGCCCCTCTTACATTTCTTTTGCTTTTCACTGAATTTTTATTCTCTCAAACAATAGTTACTGTTATGCAGACTACTGCATAAGTGTAGAAATGGTATAAATAATATCAGCGCACTTGTGAAAGAATATTACTCGCCAGTTGATGTGTATTGGACACATGACATGATTTGTTTACTTTTGAACTTTGGCAAAAATCGAACATTTCTGCTACTTTGAACTTAATTTCAAGGTACTTTTCATTGTGAAACCAATCAAAATCGTCTCAATTTCTGTAATATATCTTCCATTCTATAAAATGAGACCAGGAAAACTAGAATACAACCATAAATACCATACAAAATACAGTGCAAAGTCGCTGTTTTAAACCAAAAACACTTATTTTTTTTTCTCGTTACGCACTGTGCTGCAGGATTTTTTTTTATACTGTGCACACTGACCACATAGACCCATTCTTTCACATGTAGGCCTACCAGCTTTCTCTTGCTAGATTTGAAGGCGCTAGAATTTAGGCGTACTAGTACATCAATAACTGGTGCGTAAGACATACTAGTACGTCGGAAACCCTGAAAGGGTTAAGATTCCCGTATCTGTCAATCAAGGGCACAGCCTTGCCAACTCCACCTATCAGTATAGGAGTGCTTCCCGGCAGTGTTTTTGGCTATCTGCTTTTCCTCTTATACATCAGTGACCTTCCCACTGCATCTGTTACTGAGACCTGTTCTTGCAGGTGGCACTTTTGTGATCTCCCACTTAAATCTAAATTCTCTTGATAACGCTGATATTGAGGAGCTTGTGACTATGAATGAACTCCTAATAATGACGACATGTTGGGAAGCAAAGCTGTAAATGTCTTAACTAAATATAATAACTAATGGTTTTCACATTGCAAGACAAATGAAAGAAAATTCTTAGGTCTTTATCTTGATTGCAACAAAATTCAACTCCCACATCCAGCATATAATAAGTGTCTCCAAGTCAGTTTGCATTCTCTTGATACATTATGTTCCTCAAACAGCACTAGTTACTACCTTCAACTCTCCTATATTGTTATATAGGCATATAACATTTCGTATTTTATATTGTAATTAACTAGTGCTGTCCTGCTAAACTGGACAATTATTTCTTCTTGTACTGTGTTAGACCTTAGAGAGGAAAAAAATTAAATGCAACACACAGGCAAGCAAATCTTAGACTACACTATACTTAAGTTTTGTTTGATGTTACTCATTCTATGGTCCTTCAGTTTATTGTATGTCCTGTGCAATAATACAGAAATATAGATTACAATTTGCCTTTGTATTTGACCAACATTTGTAATAACTGCTACAAGTGTTATAACATTGTTTTATTTAAACTTCAAATAAATTGGTTTGCAAAAATTCTAGCAAGGGGCATTTTATACAGTCGGTAATGTTAACTATTCCTGGTTCAGTTACTTATTATATTTTGTAGAGAAGGTTTATCATTTCAGGTGAGGAGATCATCAACCTGGAGTTCTGGTCAGGGAAACAATGATCCCTAGAATAGACACACTATCTACAGGTGCTAGGACAGATGTGTATGTTATACAATATATGATGGGATTTTGAATAACCAGATAGCTAGGTTTTTCAAATGTGAGACTAAATGTGAATCATCATTTGGATTTTCTGTCCTTGAAAGGCAGCTAGTATTGGGCAAATTATTTTTTTTAAACTAAGCAGTATTCCTCCAAGGCAGGATGACCCAAAACAGAAATAATTTGTTAAAGTAGATAGCTCAATTGAAGAATCAGCACCTAACAAAATTCAGTTACTTAATCTGTCTAAAAATTTTGGATAGGTAAATTAATTTTACTTGTTGCTTAATTTTTAGAAAAGTTAGGTTAGTGTAAAAAAAATTAGCATAAAAAAAAAAAGATTTCATAACAGTATTTGACTGTTTTCCTTTCAGTGCCATTTCTTCCATTGATCTTCAGTTATTAATAAATTATTGTTAATAATAGGAAGTGGTAACTAGCTCCTTTCCATGATATTTTATTTACCTTGTATAACAGTTTAATGTTGCATGTTCTTTTCAATATTTATTGTTAATGGACATATATTAATCTATATACAGTATAGTACAGTATGCATTTCTCTTCGTATTTCCAGTGTTCATACGATGGGTGTTGAAAGTGAGCTGAACATCGCCCATTTCAGAAGACTTTTGGAGCAAGAGGCTCAAGTTCTCACAGATAACTGCTTGAAATGGAGGAATATAATGAACTCCACCTCAGATATTCCTGAGGATATTGAAGGGGATGTCATGGTTGCAATTGGCATGTATATTACTTATTGTCGGGATATAAGTTTTGAAATTTTTTTAGAAGGGTGCCCTGAAAAAGAAAAAATGCTCACTATCACTCCTTTTGAGCTAAGACACTGTACTTTCCACCTCTAGAACTTACATCCAGCTAATTGACTTACCTGAATCCCTTCATAAATGTTACCTTGCTCTCACTCCAACAGAATGTCGGATCATAAAAACCACTTGCCTCCATTAAGTCCTATCTAACATGCTCTCACACACCTACTGGATGTCCAAGTGCCTTGCATGCAAAACCTCCTTTATCCCTCCTTCTCATCTTTCCTAGGGTGGCCCCTACCTTGCCTTCCCTCCACTACAGATTTAAACACCCTCCAAGTCATCCTATTTTGCTCCATCCTATCAATGTCAAAACCAACTCAACAACCCCTTCTCAGCTTTCTGGATAATACTTTTAGTAAACTCACACCTCTTAATCTCCATACTGTGAACTCTTTACATAATATTTACACCACACATTGTACCTCCTTTTCCTTGCAGCAACATTCACAACCCATGCTTCAGGCTCATATAACAGTGTTGGTCCCACTGTACCCTCATACATTCCCATTTTGCCTCCATGGATAATGATGTTTTTGGTCTACAGATGCCTCTCTGCACCACCCCCCTCCCCCCCCCCCCCCCTTCATCAATTCTATGGTTCATCTCAAGTTTCATAGACCCATACTCTGACAAGTTCACTCCCAAATACTCCATACTCCTTCCTTCCAGTATTGCATTACCCAATTTTTTCTTTACCCTCATCACCTTGCTCTTTCCAATATTCACTTTTAATTTCATTTTTTTCCATACCTTCCCAAATTTGTTCACCAGTCTTTGCCACTTCTGCATCTCCCAAAAGCACTGTCATGGGCAAAACAGTAACTGTGACAAATTCTACTTTGTATTACATCCTATGTATTTTAACCTTTTGACTGTTGCAACCCTAAATCCTGAGGTGTCTCCTGATGTTGCAAAATATTTAAAAAAAAAAAAAAAAAAAAAAAAAAAAAAAAAATAGGAAATTACAGTGGACCCCCGCATAGCGACTTTAATCCGTGCAAGACGGCTCATTGTTATGCGAAATGATCGGTATGCGAATGAATTTTCCCCATAAGAAATAATGGAAATCAAATTAATCCGTGCAAGACACCCAAAAGTATGAAAAAAAATTTTACGAAAAATGAGGGACCACTGTACCATCTACAAATATATTAATCATGGTGACGTCGTGCATCCCTGTCTAAGGCCTACTTTTAACCCTTTCACTGTCGAGACCCCTGCTCTGTATGGAAAAATTTATAAAAAAAAATTATTTTATGAAATGGAGAATGTTTTCCAGATGGTGATGACACCCAAAGTACAAAATTTGATGGAAAACTTAGGGAAATACGCTCTCGTGAAGTTATCGGTCTTGGCAGTATATACGCATCGGCGATTTTGCCCACTTTGAGCCCTATACAGTATTCAGTCAGTTCCATTGTTCCAATCGATCACTCATAGCTATTTTGTCAGTAGTGTTACTGATTCCGTATGTGATATGCTTGTGTAGTTATCCACAGCATGTTAGTAATGTGTACTACTGTACTCAGAGTAACCATTACTGATTCACCTCTCTGCGTGAATCACTGACTGCTATATCGCTGACCGTTATAACTTGCTGCTGACCCTATCATGATTGAATGCCACTCGCCCTCCAGGCACTCGGCAGCTCAGTTCAAGTAGACAATAGAGAGGAGGCAGGTCAGACTTGGCGTTCCCCTTATTTTACCGTTAATATAAGTTACCAAGCCACCCATCGTATTTATTCCCTAATGCATGATTGAACCCCATTCAACAATTGGTGGTAGCGGTGGGATGCATGGATTTATGGGTATTTACGCAGATATAAGTAGATCAAGCTGGGTCATTGTGAGTGGAGCGGGCATTCCCTAAGCCAGTCTGCTGTCTCTACGCTTGCCCCACCTCCACCCGGCAATGCCTGCCGGCAAAGCCAGTCACAGCCGCCTCTCTAGCTTCCTGGCTTAGTTCATCTGGGTTCATCCAAGGATTTCATCCGGGTTTTGCAGTGAAGCCAGTCTAGGAGAGAGTGCCAGTTATCATCCAGCCTGTTCCTTCATGTTGTGTGCATCGTTACACGTATTCTGGTCAGCCATTATCGAGGTTAAGCCAGCAAGACAACCCAGCTGAGAGATGTAAGCCAATCAAGTTCCTCTTTGAAGTACGTATTGTCTTTGATATTGCCTTGTGCTGCCAATCCAATGCTGGACAGTGGTATTCACCATCCCTGTGGCTTAGCAAAGCCACCCAGATTTTAAGTGTGGTAGGGTATGAGTGCCGTCAGACGCACACTGACGCTGCTCTCTGCAGTCACCTCCACAACCCACCACTCGCCCACCACTAAGCCTTACCTACTTGTGGTATTCTTCATCCTTCTTTATACTGCTTACACACTGGGTCAAGAGCTGTATTTCACCTGCATTTTCCCTGTGCACCACCCTTACGAAAGCCTAAGTGTGTGTCTTCAGATTAAGCGCATTTCTTTGCGACACGTGAGTGACGGTACGTCGCCACCACCTCTCCGTCACTTCGGGACTCCAGTGATAAATTCTGTTTATAGACATCTGCATGTGTGAGACAATTACCGTGAATTTCTTGTGTATGCAAAGACTTGTGCTTTCAGTGTAGACTCGGTGTTTTCTTTGACTTGCTATTTTGCATTATTTTCCCAGTGTTATCGCTCATCTTTCGTGTTTCATTTTTGTTTATGTATCTGTTCTTTCATGTTGCTCCTACACTTGAAGTATTACTTACTGTCACCATTTATTTGTCTCTTGGTTGCAATATTGTACTCATTGCCCAGTCATTCATTCAGTGAAATGCTTCATTTTTTTTCTTTGTGTTCTTTCAGTATTGTGTTTTGCACCATATTTGTGTTGTGTATTGATTTTCTCCAGTACATCTATCATTAAATTTTTTTTTCCCAGCATTTTCCTTGTGCTTTCTGCTAATTCTATGTATAAATTCACGCAGTGCTATTTACTGCAGTATACTAAGTTACCCATTTATTTCTGTGGACCATTTTTCTATGGCAAGCAGTGCCTCATTGCCTTGGTTTTTTTTTTTTTTTTTTTTTTTTTTTTTTTTTTTTTGCAGAATCTTGTACCATTATTTTGTATGCAAGCAAGAGCATTTTCATATGTCGCAGCAAGATTTTGTTGCAAGAACAATTATCCGATAAGTGAAGTGAATGATCCTTGTGTATGTCCTGCCACTGTAAGTGTTCAGACTTCCAGTTCTGTAGCTTGTCATTTTTATTCATATTACAGTGGAACCTTTACTTAGGAGTTGAACCCTTTCAGGGTCGAGAGGCCCTCTCCTGAACTTCTCAGGGTCAAAAATTTTTCAGTGGGGGGGATTACTTTTTCTCATGAATAGATAGAGAATCTTCTCCCGATCATAATGACACCAAAATTATGGAATTTGATGGAAAACTTAGGGAATTATGCTCTCGCAAATTTAGCTGTCTCGACGATGTTTATGCATTTGCGATTTCGCCCACTTTGAGCCCTATTTTTGCCAATTCCAGTGTACTAGTCGACAGAAATCATAACTATTTCGCTAGAACTCCATTTTTTCTATTGAATGAGTAAAATAAACCACACTTACCGATTTTAACTATCCAATAAAGTGGTCAGAAATTGGCAATTTTGCCAATTTCACACAAATTTCAAAAGATGCCAATTTACAAATAGGGTCCAGAATAAACAAGACAGACATTCCTGGCACTAAAATAACATTTCATCTATTCATTAGTCATGTCCCCAGGCCCCTCTTACATTTCTTTTGCTCTCCACTTTGAATTTTTATTCTCACAAAAAATAGAAGATTTACTGTTATGCAGACTACTGCATTAGTGTAGAAATGGTATAAATAATATCGGCGCACTTGTGAAAGAATAGTAGACTGACCAGTTGACGTGTATTGGACGTGTGGCATGATTTGTTCAATTTTGAACTTTGGCAAAAATTGAACATTTCTGCTACTTTGAGCTCAATTTCAAGGTACTTTTCATTGTGAAGACTATCAAAATCATCTCAATTTCTGTAATATGTCTTCCATTCTATAAAATGAAACCAGGAAAAATAGAATGCAACCATAAATACCATACGAAAATGCAGTGCAAAGTTGCTGTTTTGAACCAAAGACACTGTGTTTTTTTTTTTTTTCTCATTACGCAGTGTGCGCTGCAGGATTTTTATACTGCGCACACTGACCACATAGACCCATTCTTTCATATGTAGGCCTACCAGCCTTCTCTTGCTAGATTTGAAAGCATACTAGTACGTCGATAGCCCTGGTGCGTAAGCCGTACTAGTACGCCGGAAACCCTGAAAGGGTTGATCCGTTCAATGACCTTGCTCGTAACTGGATTTGCTTGTTTGCAGAGTAAATTTTCCTAATTTAAATTAATTGAAATGCAATTAATCCATTCCAATGGAATTCTGTATTTCAATTTCGCTAATATCAGCTCTACGGCTTATTTATCTATCACAGTTCATCTAATATGAAATAAAAAAATATAAATAACATAGAAACGTGATATATGCTTCAGAATACATAAAATGTCATTATGTAACAGGTGGAGGCTACCACAACAGCTCCCTCTTTGTTGTGGTAAACACTGGCATCTAGTGACGGGTTTTTGATGTAGTCTATTATAATTATTATTTAGTACATTATTATTATATATGTATATATGTATTATACGTATTATCATTATACTATTATACGTATTATTAATTATTATTATTATTACGTTAAGCATCTTTCCATCATACATTGCCCAAGTTTCAATAAGATGGTCCAACAAACAAATGAGATGCAGTTCCCTAGATCAAAAGCAAGAGCCCCTCACCAGCATCAAGGTTCCTGCCTTGAGGTCTGCTTGCTTATAGAAATTTTGCTCGCATA